ATAATGTGTATATGATTCTCGTAAAATCATTTTCTTATTTTGTTGTTATTCAACAACTATTAACCGTCGATATTTAAAATATCCATCCAATGTTTAAACTATTATTTTCTATACATTATAAAATGTTCAAAATATTTCGACTCGTTTTCAGTGATTTACTAAAGACATTTGACTATTTGAGTTATGAAATGTTTTTAGTTCTGTATTCTATAAATGTCATTAAAATTTTATTCGTCGGGTCAAAAAGCTTAAAAATAATAGGTACAAAGTTCCTCGTAAGTTGATATAATAGAAGTTAAAAAATATTAGAAATACATAAGCACGTTTTGTTTTATAGGCATTTAAAGTTCAAATTTCTACAAAATTTATCACAATCTACGAGTCCTATGATATAGATATTAGGAGAGCAATAGAAGTTGAGTACCTATGTTACTCTAAGTTAATAGTTACCCATAACTTATAACGTTGGATTTGAAAAAAAATGACCAGTTATAAATTAAAATTGTATTTTATGACTATTATCAGTTAAAACATATATTTCTATAAATTAAACCAAAACATATGTCTTTTTCAAGTAAACAATTTTCATATTCACCTATTAATTACAATTATTCTACGACCGGGGAATGGAAAAACAATTTATAAAATATGCGTATACAATAACACATTTTTGGTGACATTAAATATTTATCTTAATTCTTAAAAGTAAATTTAAGCCCCAAAAGAATATGAAAACAAATTTACTTTAAACATCGATTCTTTCGGCTGAATCCGTTACGTGTGTTCACTGCGAGGCTGACGAGGAAAATCTCCATAATATACAAAACTTAAAATATTGTGATTGATGAAAAATAAAATTATACGGAACGCAGTAAGTTTTTTGCTCATATCGGCTTTGCTTATTGAAATTTTAGAATTTTTAATGACGACTGTGTCCTCTGCAATGGATTTGAGATTTGCCATGGAATATAAATGATAGATATTATACTAGGTACGTGAATATGATGAATCCACGGATATCATATAGGTAACGCAACTTTTATATCAAAGAGTTCCGTGTTAAGGAACAATATTGGTCCGTTGAAATTTTATATTATGACAAAAATCAAAATAGCTTATAATTTTGAATTTTGAATTTCAATTATAATAATTTTAAATATGATATATTTTAATTATTATTTTCGTTTCTTAATTTAATTATTTATTAATATGGTAAATAGGTATATATCAGAAGTACAAGCATATTTTTATAAAAGCATAATATTGTATTTTAAAAATCATTAAATGAAAATGTGATTCCTGGATTTTAGAGTTAACATAAAGATATAGGTACAGTACCTAAGTACATTAAATTTACAGTACCTACCATGATACCAACTAGATTTGTAAAATTCCAAGTCTAACATTTTCTATGAATAGATACTGCTGATCACAAAATTATTAATTATTATTTAATATTATGTTAATTTAATTGTTTTGGGTACCTACCTATAATTTATATTTTAGATTCTGAGCGGAGCGATGAATATTTTGATTTTACTATGATGTGTATTTAATTTTTAAATTTTTTTGTTATTATTTCTTTTTTGTGTTTGATGCGTACACGATAAGTAGGTATGTAGTCAAAATAAACCTTCGTGTTCCATGCATAATATAATTTATAGGTACTCTGTATGTAATCAATGATCATAGTTTTATTTTTAAGTTTCTTTGTATTTAGTAAATAATAATATAGGAAATTGTATTTTCGAACATTAATTTTTTGTTTGTATTAAATACTTTCACCATAATAGGGAACTAAAATTGTCATTTATCGTTAAAACAACGAAGAAAGCTTAAAAAAAAAATTTAAGTTCCTCGTAAGTTGATATAATATCAGTTAAAAAAAATTAGAAATAAATAGGCAGGTTTTTTTATAGGCATTTCTACAAAATTTATCAATAATCTAGTCAATTTGCAAAATATTTTGCTGTAAGATATTCATACAAAAATTTCTTAGTTTACCTACCCATAATATGAAAATGTAATAAAAGTTTCCTCATAAGTATTTATAATTATAGCAGTTGAGAAACAATAAAGATCTATAGGCACGATTTTTTTTATAAGAAATTAAAGTTCAATTTTGAACAAAATTTATCAAATTGATAATTTACAAATAACTATTTTGTAAATAAAAATTTATAAAATGTTCAACTTTCATTGCTAAGGATTGAACATTTAAAACAAGAGATCTCATAAATAGTTCATACTGTAATCAAAAAATTTAAATAATCAATTTCAAAACACAGTTAAATTGTGCAGACATTATAAGTTCAAATTTGGAAGGAATTGCTTATTAAAAAATTAACAAATTTTGTGAAAAATTCAATTTTGGAAGGTAAGCGTGTTTTGTGTAGGCCTAATAAATGTTACATTAAAATTTAAAAAATTCTTAGAATTACATTAATTGGATTATAAATTAGAATATAGGTACTACAGTTTCCAGCTTCTACTACAACATTCCGTTATATTATGTTTTTAATTATTAAAATGCCTAAAAATAAAACGTAAATCCCAAAATAATATGAAAACAAACTTACGCTGAAACATCGACTCTTCCGGTGAAACCTAGCTAGAGTGCATATGCAAACGTCGAGTACGTGACGCCACCGAAGAAACAGCTATCTTCATCTCTTAAATTGTAAATTTTTTTTTTACGATATGATACAAAAAACAGAATTTATAGTAAGTGTATTATTTTTTTCATTGCCCCCTCCCCCCACTAATAATTTCTACGGGCGGCCTTGTACAATTGTCCAGTTTAATATGCTTTTCCCAAAGAATATAATGATTTTAAAAATTAGTCACCTATTCAAAATATGGAGAATTAAATATTGGTCATCGGGTCATAGTAGATTTTAATTATTTTTTAAGGAAGCAATAGGAAACCAGTTCGTCGATTCAAATTTCAAACGACACGAAAAAAGGATTATAATAAATTCACACAGTTTGAAGACCGGTTTTAGTGCTTTATTCGGTTAGTACATCATGCGATAGAAGTCAATTTCTATAATTTATACTTACCAAAACTATTTTCACAAGATGTGAAATATTTGATTGAATAAAACAAATTTAAAAACAGTAATATTTACGGAGAGTGAAGACACCAAGTGGTGAGATTGATAAGATTTATGGTGTGGAGGTTAACAAATTGTAAATTTAACTTGATAAGTTAAAAGTTAATATAGAAAAAAATATAAATCTATTTTTTTTTTTAATTAGTATGTAAATCATATAAAGAGTGAATGTGTTTTTCTGGTTTCTAATTTATAAATTAGAAAAAATAATTTTATTGAACTTTTATCATAATGTAAACTGTATACCATTTTACTTTTACTTTACTATTATTTAATAATTTAAACTATACTCATCTCAAATTAATAATTTAACGAATATATTTTTTTATATCTTATAGCAATTGAATTTCATAATATGTGAAGATAGTACATGACCTTCATATATATTGTAAGTTATATAACATTAAAACATAACAATAATTGTTAATTATTATTAATAATTAATATATATTATTAGTAATTATTGTCAATTTGTAATTTAATATTATTAATTTTATTAAAAACATTTATAATTGCAATTTGCAACTCGCACAATATTATATAATTTACAAATTAATAAAATATATTAATATATACAAAGTTATGTTATCAAGAATAATAACAGAAATGTTTGTGTTTTTGTATTGGATTATTTTTATTTTAAACTGATATAGTAATATTTACGTATAAACGAAAAATGTCAAGATGTTTTTAACTTGATGGATTTTTTTTAAATCAACTGAGAAAAGCTAAGTTATTTCAACAATAAATTAAACTAGTTAAGTTCATAAGTTGATTACAAAATTAACTGACTAGTTAAGTTAAAAAGTTAAAAAAAATGAACTTTTTAACTATATTTAATGCCCACCTTTGAGTATATAATATCTCAGTCAATGCATTCAAGAACTTTAATATAGATAAATAAAAATGTTAAAAGAATATTTAGATTAATTTTTAATAATAGGTACCTATAATAAATAGTTAATGCCCACCTTTGCCTGAAACATTGCCGGTTACAGTTACCAGCTGTACTTATAAAGTTATAATTTACAACTTATTATAGTAATAATTAGTAATGGTACTGTAAAATTGTAAGCCAATATTATATTTTCAAAATTGTTTTCGAATTATATTATTTTGCATTGATTTTTAATTTTCAAGAATAATATATTCATACAACATCATCCTACGAAAAATAAAAAGGCGTGGGAATAACCCGGACACATGAACCTGATTCCTACAACATAACATTATAGGTCAAAATACGAGTTGTACAGCCTAACTTATTGGCAATAGCTTATAGTCATATAGATAGGTACAGATAACTGTAAAAAAATGTTTATATTTTCAATTAAATCTGGAATCTTTGTCATTGTATTATTGTAATATTAATAGTCTGTGAAAATATACATATATCATTAGGCATCGATTACATTACAAGTATTGTATAGAAGTAATACCTATGTGGTATTAAATTTTCAATAATAAAATACTGTCCCCTGCTATCGTCTATGAATTAGTAGGTATATAATTGAGTAAATTTCTAATTTCCAATAATTATCAAGGCACCTACTAACATTTAAACTTTTACAAATTTACAAATTTACAATTTTGTAGGTGTAAAATACAGAATTAAATATAAAATGATTTAAATATTATTAAATTAATTTTTTTCCTAGACCACTATTGTCACTTTTCCAAATATACATTCCATTTTTTATAATTAAAACAAAATATAATTTAATGTACCAAACTATTCTAACATTTTATAAAAGATAAAACTTTTATAGTTAACGTTTTATTTTTTTTAGGTTTATACATAATGAGAAAAATGTGTGTAATTTTTTTACATTTGATTATAAATTAATAAATATTATAATTATTATAAATAATATGGTTCATAAATCACTTTGACCAATAACTACGAATCATATCTGCTCCCTTTTCACCGACCATTAATGTCGGGGCATAAAGATGTGCATGGGGTATATGTGGAAATATCGATGAGTCCACTACCCTTAACCCTTGAATTCCGATTACTTGTAACTTGTTGTTGACAACATCTCCCATCCTGCATGTACTACACTGATGATGATAAGTATTTGTAAGATGCTTCGATACACAAGCCCAATAATCGTCAGATTTAAATAGTAAATGTTTACATTTTGGGTACGGTATTGGGCTTAGTTTAGCCGAGACGTCTTTAAATGCCTGTGTATCTTCTACTAATTTCACTGCATACTTAAGAGCATATACATTGTCTTCTAAATCGGTATTGTTGTTTTCATAATAACCATAGGACATAATGGGCGGATCCAATGGATTATTGCTTTTCAAACTTACTCTTCCACGACCGTCTGGTTGCAACAGCAATGTCCCAAGAAAAAACATGTTAGGTTCATCCGATGTGGGACCAAATATTAATTCAACCCCTTTACCGGATGGCGATCTTATATATCCTAAGCCATCACTTCCTCCTGGTGCGGTTAGTGGTCCTCGGCCGTATTTGAACCATTCTTCAAATAACCGCGGGTCCGATATGGTTTGTTTTGTAATTGCTGGTCCGGTTTGATTTACTTCAAATTTTAAACCTATGGCTATATATAAAATTCAAAAATATAGGTATATTATAATAAAGAATACATACAATTTTTAATTAAAAATAAATCAAGTAAATAATAACTAATAAGTTCAGTGTCAACATTATTTTTAAAAAAAAACATTGTTTTTTCAAATAGTCTCTGGACAGAAGCAGTTTAAATGTATTATATTTAGGTCATTGTATTCCACGGTGTAAACCGTGTGGATAACTGATGGACTGCGATAGTTGTGGTATAAACCAAAACTACATAATGCACTGATATACCTATTGATATTTTAGTTTTAATAGTGTAATAACTATTAATTAAATACTAGAGGAAATACAGTACATTCAGCGTATGTAAAACAATGTTAAAATTCAACAAATTGGAAGTATAAAAAGGTGGGTAAGTGGATGTCGCTCTGCTGTACAGTAGGTTACAAGTGGGTCACTGTATAATGGATGCTTTTAAATTTGAATTCAATGATACAATATCATTGTATAAGAAAAACGATTCTGAGCGAAGACGGTATGTCAGTCTAGGTTTAAGACAAATTATATTCATATCTATGGTATTAAAAAAAAAAATTTACCTTTAATAAATTCCAAATTAATCATATCATATTATCACAATATCCATTAGGTACTTATAACACGTTATACATCAACATCAATAACAAACCCTGATACTATCATAGATATATAATAGTACACTTTAGAAGTTTCAAGTAGGTACCAACGAATAAATATTATATAATCACAACAAAATAACTAGGTTTTTTAACATGTAATTTCGTCCAAATTTGAACATAAAATGACTATAAAAATAAACTGTGATTGTATATATTTTAGATTTTTCGGTAAGAGAATTAGCTACTTACGTGGAATCTTGTTTTAAATTTTCAATCCTTAGCTATAAAACTGAACATTTTATAATTTATTAATTACGATGATTAATAAATTTCGAGATTTTGAAGAATTCTGTCAAAATTCGATGTTTAAATGCTTATAAAAAAATTGTGCCAATGTATTTTTAATATTTTTCAACTGATATTGTAACAATATATCATTAGCCTTGTATTAAATTTTTACACTTTTTGGCCCAACAGATAAAACTTTATTGATATTCATAGAAAAAAAACTAAAAAAATTTAAAAATGAAAATATCTGTAAACAGCTCAAAAAGAGTCAAAATATTTTCAAAATTGTATGGTGTATAGGAAATGCTTATACAAACATTCAGTGAAATTTTCATGTATCTATAGTTATTCGTTTATGAATAACAATAAAATAAGGAAATCGCTACATGAGAAATCGAGTGAACATCCAATGTTGTAAAAATTTAAATTTCAAACGCTCATAAAAATTTAATTTGACTGTCCGGTAGAGATTTTTTTATTGATAAAGTTAGACAAACTTATGAGTAATCTTGTATTACGTTATCAAATCTTAGTTTTAAAAAGAAAAATTTTTACGAATTCTTAACTCAAAATAATTTGCTAATTTTCGTGATTTGTCAATTTTTGAACTTTAAATGCTTATAAAAAAAACTGTGACTAACGATTTTTAATATTTTTCATCTGCCTTTGAAACAATATAGTAGGAACCTTGTATTAAATTTTCAAGTATTTCTACTCAACAAACAAAGTTTTATTGATATTTTTAGAAAAAAAACTAAAAAAAATGGAAAATGAAAATGTCCCTAAACAGTTCATAATAAATCAAAATATTTTGAAAATGTTATCGTGTATAGAAAAGGCAAATATAAACAACCAGTCAAAATTTCATGTTCCTACAGTCATTTGTTTTAAAGTTACACCAAAACCAAATTCGATTTTGTCAAAAACCTATTTTGCGTAAAAATTCCCGTTTTTCCTTAATTTTTATGTTGTTTTTCCCGGCGCTTGTGAAAACTATTGGGAATTTTGACCTCCCCAATGCATCAACGATATTCACTCTCCAATCGAACAAGATACTGAAGTCGAAAATCGAAGCATTATTTCGACTACTTATCGTGTACACAGACACAAAAAAAAAAAACACACATCATTGTAAAATCAATACATTCATCGTTTCACTCAGAATCTAAAATCAAGTAAAAACTTCATGACAAATTTAATTATGTTTTCATATTCGCTTTATTGGATATCGAATAATCGGTTAAATTGGAATTCGATAGGTATATACTTTAAGTTCGAATATACTTATTAGAAAAATGTAGGGCTTAAACTCGAAAGTTAAACAAATACTTATTAGTTAATTAAACATACCCAATGTGCCATAGTGCTCAAGTAAATTTTTTCCAACTGGTAAATCTTGGATTACTGGTATACTATGATGTTTTAAATGATCTTTTGGTCCAACACCTGATAACATTAGCAATTGTGGTGAATTAATTGGTCCAGCCGATAAAATAACTTCTTTTTTGACATAAACTGTTCTAAGTTTTCCTTTTTTCAAAAATTCTACTCCAGTTGTTTTTTTAGTTTTTGGATCAATACGTATTTTTGTTACTTGGCTGTTTATTGCCACATGAAGGTTTTGACGGTTTCTGGCCGGACGAATAAAAGCTTTTGATGCACTAACCTATACAAAAATATATTTATTTAGCACGTAAAAACTATAAAAACAAATACAGGGTTATAGACTGAGTGATAAATATTGATAATTTCTATTATTGAAAAGGTAACTAAATCCCAAAAAATAATAAATAGAAAATAGTAATAGCCAATACTTAAAATCACAAATTATAAAACAATTATATTATTAAATATCATTAATTAATAATTATATATTTAAGTATAAAATTGTTTTATAAAAGATATTTACCAAATACGTAGGTATGTGTAATATTTTATCAAACTTGGAGGAGAGATAATTGTTTATAACAAATGAATGAGAAATAATATCTACGATAATTAGTGCTATTAATGTAACTACTATATATGTCTATATTAATCGGTTCCTTCCCGAATAGTGTTGCTTGTTGGTTTAGAACTTATGAGAATACAAATTATTGTACGTACATGACTAACTTGCAAATGAGGTGGCTAATATTGATTGTTATTTGTGTTCACAATAATCAATGTTCTTACACAGAGTATACAGAGTACAAATACAATACTAATATTTATTTATTAAATAAGTTAGGTAGGTACTAGGTATGCATATAAATATATTTACTCTGCGACCATTTAGAGTTGTGGCTTGTAAACGTGATACTCCATATTCCGGATCAATTGTGTAGTCAATATTTTTTTTTAATCCTAATTCTCCACCGGCTTCTATAAATTTGTCAGTGAATGGTGAATGATATCTAACTCGTTCAACGTGTAAATTTCCTTTTTGTGAATGGAAAGGTGAATTTTGATATTCTGGTATTGAATTGTTCTCAGATTTTAAGAAATAGGGCAATACGTCATCGTAACTCCAGCCGTCATTTCCTAGTGCTGCAATTGTATCATAATCTTCTTTTTTTCCTCTTGTGTAAAACATGGCATTTATAATTGAAGATCCTCCCATGCCTTTTCCTTTCGGCCATGGACAACGATTATTCTTAAAACCTAAACAACCGTTCTTTACGGGTTCAGCGGTATAACCCCAGTTATAGTTTGTTGCTTCTAAAAAAGGCACTGCCGCCGGTATATCTGTGTATATAGATTCATCTTGGCCTGCTTCCAATAAAAGTACTGACCAATTTGGCAGCTGTTCAGATAAACGGTTTGCCACGACACAACCTCCTGGACCTGCTCCGATGACAATAAAATCATATTCACTTAATATAGGTCTATCACCTATAAAACTGTTTTCCCTGAATGGAATTTCTTGTTGCTGATACTGAGCATAAGTTGACTGATGCGATTGACTAAGAGTTAAAGATGAAAAAAAAATTAAAAATGTGAATATTATAAAAAAATTTTTCATGATGTCACGTGCACATAAGTTATGGACCACTTGCATGGCTATGATCAACTGATGTTAGCAGTGTTAGATTCTCAAACTCACACAGTCCTGTTTCATTTACTTAGTCTCCCTACTATAATATTATATATTTTGTATCTTTTATTTTACAAATTATATTATATACAAGTTAATACAACTTACAAGTTACAAGTTACCTCCGTGTCTTCTTACAGTGATCCCGAAATCTAGGTTAGTGTTACTCGTTATAGTTAAGTAGGATATTGGAATAAATTAAAGTGATTAAACTAATAGTTTATATTATATTATTAATATTTAATTATTATAGGTAATTATATTTTATATAATTTATTATTGTTTTTAAATTTAGAGTCAATATACCTTTTGTGTTTATATTTTGAAAATTGAAGAAAGGTACTATACGTCATATATTTATTAAAAATGTTAATATAAACATTTGGTGACAATTTCAAGTGTCTTTGCTTATTCGAGTCTGTATATTAACAACAAAATAAATAAAATCGATTTTGTCCAAAACTGGTTTTGCATAAAAATTTCTTTTTTTCCCAAATAGTAGTAATAGACAATACTATAATAGTATTTTCTATTTTAACTTTCGTAAATGACCGTAGATACATAAAATGATACTTTTTGTTTATATCAGAATTTAGTGAATTTACTATACACGATAAAATTTTCAAATTTTTTTTATTTGTTTTGAACTGTTAACGGATATTTTCAGTTTTCAATATTTTGGTATTTTTATTTTATGAATGTCAATAACATTTTGTTTATTGGGGAAAAGATTAAAAATTGAATACAAGGCCCTTAATATAATGTTACAATAATTTTTGAAAAATATAAAAATCCATAGTCACAATTTCTTTTCATAAGTACCTATTTAATGTCCAAATGTTGACAAAACACGTAAAAATCACGGAAATGTGCAAACTATTTTGAGTTAGAAATTCATAATAAAAAAATGTATTTTTAAATCTAAGATTTGAAAATGTAATACAAGATTCCCCATAAGTTATACATAATAGAAGGCTCCTGATATATTGTTACAATAGCAGTTGGAATATATTAAAGTTACATAAGGACAGTTTTTTTTTATAAGCATTTAAACTTTAAAGTTAGATTTTTGACAACATTTATCAAATTTAAAATTTAAAAATGACTTTGCAGTTAAAAATTTATAAAATGTTCAACTTTTATAGCTAAGGATTGAAAACTTACAACAAGGTTCAACGTAAGTAGGTTATTCTGTAAACAAAAAATTTCAAACATTTTCTTTTTATAGTTATTTTATGTTCAATTGGAAATTATATATTAAATAACCAAGAATAACGGTTATGGTTATTTTGTTGTAATTTTATAATATTAATTTAACCCACCGGCTACCGTATTAATAATAACTAATAAGTAATAACAATATAAATATAATATTAAATATCCACTCTGACAAACCGTCACCTCTCAGAATCGTTTTTCGTATACAATGATATTATATCATTGAATTAAAATTATACAGTGACCCACTTGTAACTTGCTGTACATCAGAGCGACATCCACTTGCCCACCTTTTTATGTATTAAAGTTATTATAATGACAGTGCAAATATATAAAAATTGTTTTTAATTAAATACAAACTATACAGACTACAGAGTGTGGTAAGTATATTAATTAAAACAAAGTTCTTATGTAGCTTGATTTTGTTTTAAATGTAGGCTGAATACATTTTTAGGTAATAAGAGTACGTTAGATTAATACCTAGTCAATACCTTAAATGTAACACATAGCCTTTTTTCAAGTGGAATTGCCATGTGCAAAAATAGTGTCTTAATTTTTAAGTATTGCCCAGTAAGCTAATTGAACAATGAACAAATAATAGGTAGTTGATTTTACTTTAACTAACTATAATAACTTCATATAATTATAGATAAATATATATTTCAAGATCAAGGTGGAGTAAATACATATAGTAATACATTATTACAATATAAAATAATGGGAGGGGTTGACCGTCATTACCTCCGTGGATTTGGAATTCGCCCCTTCCTCCTCAAAACTAGGATATATCCGCCACTGCTGTGTCCGTTTAGAATCGATTTTCTTTTGCAAAATTATGTACTATTATGTATTATTATGTATTATTATGTATTATTATGTATTATTATGTATTATTGAATTTAACACTTCCATAATCCATCATTACATTACATTACCTTATCAAAGATCAAGTACACGTCTAGGTACCAATGATTATAAATACTTATCCCTTTAACGGGCAAACCTAATTTTCAAATACGACAAATAAGACAACTGTGGCCTCCATATCAGCCACCATTGAAGAGACCCGTATGATCAAAATTATTTTTGTTAATTATAGTTTAACGGAACTGTGGCATAGATAGTAGCCACTTTATTATCAATATAAAAACCGCCATAAAATAAATCAATTTTGTTTTGCTTATCAATTACGATAGAATGATAACATAATAACATGTGTTCAACAATTATTTAATATTATAATGGTGATAACCGTATTGATAATCATTATTGTCAAAAGTGGCTTGTGTACAAGCCACTAATCGTTAAAACTTGTTAACATTTCAAATTTTAAAATTATTTTACGAAATTAGTGTGACTACCATTTACTACAACGTATAATCAATCAAATAAGTACATATTATAATTCTTTATACAATTTTACATAGGTTATATATCATAAATTATCGATATCAATGGTTTTATAGTATTTTTACATTCGATAAAAGTATAAAAAAAAATATTTTTCAAAAAAAGTTTATTTTAGATTGTTGAGTATTATATTATAAATTAAAATTATATTAGTATTTTATACACCATTGGACTCGTTACAATCTATTGTTTTTAATGGTATAATATTTTCCGAGGTTAATATTTGCGCAAAGAAGATATAGTGCAAATAGTTGACATTTATTGATAACAAAAATGTAGTTATACACATATTTTTTTTTATTATATTAGTTGTATTTTATATAGGTAATTATTTTTTGTTGTAGCTTCTGAATAAAAATGCCACATGTGTCACAAATTGACATTTTGGAAATATACAATCTTATACTGTTGTTATACTTATGTCTATGAAGTTGTTTTTATTAATTTGTTATTATTTTTTATTATTATTCACATCTATTGTATTCATTTTAATGTCAAGTCAAGCATTTTTAAATAAATAAAGTCTCAATTAATCTTTTTTTATTATTCAAAAAATTTAAATGTCTAAAAGCATAGAAGTATGAATATAGTATTTATTTTCAGAATTATTCTAAGTCAGAGGAAAATCATGACCCCTTATAGTTTAGTGGCATTTATTTCAGCCACCATCTATAGACCTAGGTATTGATATTACAACAATAGTTATTGAAACAAAAATGTTATAATTAAATAAAAGAATATTAATCAACCACTAAAATAAACATATTTAGATAAAAATAGTTCTGCCCATGTACCGTAATTTTACAAGTGGCTTCTATAAATGCCACAGTTGCATTCATTTGTGATTCATTAATATTATGCTGCCTATCTACCGTACAAACATAAGTGGCTTCTAGAACAACCACTAACACATAAAGGGTTATACTAGTATTAATTTCTACTACACTCGACGCCTTCTGTACATCAGAGTGGTTTCCTAAAATTTCCCCATTAATTTAATTATTTTTTTTTTTAGTTTTATAGGTATAAAAAAAATAATTAAATTTAAAATTATTTAAATATTATTAAATTCATAGGCGTAATCTCGGGGGTGCAAAGGGGTGCACTTGCACCCCCTGGAATTGTTGAGGGGGTGCAAAACTATCATTTTGCACCCTCTAAATTTTCTATATTTATAATGTATAATTTTACCAATTTTTTAAATATTTATAAAATAATGTTAACGTTATTAGACATTATTAGTAACACCTATAAGTTTTATAATCATGAACTTCAAATAGAACTAAAAATCTTTATTAGAATATTCAAATCTAAACAAACTAACTCAAATAATAGTGTATTTTAAAACAAATTAGATTATATGAAACAAGGTGAAATTAAAAATAGGTGTCCTTTATTATCTGAAATTTTAACACTATTTATGACAATACCTACAAACACTATCATCTTGTAAACGAAGTTTTTCCTGATTACGAAGGCTTAAAACTTACCTCAGAGCAACTGTGGGACAAGAATGGCTGTCTGATATAGCTATGTTACAACTTACAAATTGATAGAAATCGAGTTATAGATTCTGAAATAAATTGTAATCGACGAGTTCAATGCAGCAGCAACTGTACCTACATGGCAGATGCTTAAGTTTAATTTAATTTTGTTAATTAATATGTATTAATATTATATCAATGTAATAAATTATAGTGTCTAGTAATATTTTAATTTATATAATAAAATGTATTTACTTCATATTACTAATGATAATACTAAATTGTGTATACAATTTTGAATTTTGATCGAGGAACTGGTATTGAAAAAGTAGTAAATAAATGTTCAAGCGGTACCTATTTTGCAATTTTGTAGAAAGTTTGTAACTTTCCTGATTAGTTTTGCACCCCCTGAATTTTAGCGAAATTACGCCTATGATTAAATTCGTTTTTTTTTCCTAGAGCACTATTATCACTTGTCAAAATATACATTCCAGTCTGACAATTTAAATATAAAAAAAAAATGATATACAAATATTGCATAATCTAACAATTGTCCGGATAAAATTACACGATACAACCATCATACCTATATATACAGGGACAAATACAGGATATAAGTATTGAACATTAAAACCATTATTATTATATAGCATAAGATATTTATTCTGTTAAATTAGGTACCTAGGTGACCAAAAACAATAAATTATATCTGCCCCTTTTTACCAACCATTAAAGTTGGGCTGTTGGGGCATACCCCCATATATAGGTATATGTGCATTCGGTCCATTCAGAATATGCGGAATTACTACGAATTCT